ACACATACATGCAGTCGTCGGATCAAGAAGCATCCCCATCCTCCTCGTGTGTGTGCGTGTGTGTCGGGTACCACTACCAGGCAATGGCGGCGTGGCTGACGGTAGAGGGCCCGCCCCCCAACAGGATCCCCGACATCGTGCGGCACATGTCGAACCTGATCGTGCGCGCAGAGCGCGAGGTCTTCCTCGCCACCAACTTCTGGCAGAACAGCGTGGCCTCGGCGTACCTCGTCAACGGGCTGCGCGAGCTGTCGCGCCGCGCCGGTGCCCGCGGCGGGCCCCGCGTGGTCGTCAAGGTGCTCTACGACCGCGGCAGCCTCAAGCAGCTCTTCGAGCCGCACTCCAACGTCGCCGAGAAGGAGTGGACCGGCGCCGCCGTCGGCCTGCCGCCCGCGCACGAGATCCCCCACGTGGATCTGCAGGTCATGAACTACCACCACCCGGTGCTGGGGACGTGTAAGTGGTGACGGGTTTCCTTCCTTCTCAGTTGTGTTGAGACGATGGTATGCTTGGGAGGAGGTTTGTAGTTGAGGCTTAGGTGCAGCAGCGTCGTGCGGGTATCATTTTCTCGCAAACCCGAAAAAGAAGAGTTCGCCAAGAGCCGGTTGCTGACACGTCTTGCCGTCCGCAGTCCACTCCAAGTTCATGGTGGTCGACCGGCGGATCGGCCTCATACAGAGCAATAACATCCAGGACAACGACAACATGGAGATGATGGTGCAGGTTGAGGGGCCCATCGTTGATGCGCTGTATGACATGGCCCTGATCAGCTGGAGCAGTGCCATGCAACCTCCCCTGCCAGTATGTACCTCCTGCGTCTATACCTGTCACTTCTGGTCATCTTCCTCTTGATCCGCGTCTCTACTCTTTAGACATGTACTCCAAACCCACGAATTAGAGCAAGGCAGCTCATGGGCAATTGCTAATTCGTGACGCGAAGTGTCTTGACTCGTCTGCGACGGCCGCGACGGCCAGGGGAGAAGCCGGGAGCTTCTTGCCGAGCCACGCGGCGCTGTTCACGCCCGAGGGGACGCTCGTGGGCCACGGCGCCGTCATCGACCCCAAGAAGCTGCCCAAGCGGCAGGCGTACGGGCGCGAGCTGCCCGGCGTGACGACGTCGGACACGGAAACGTCGCAGAGCAACATTGCGCCGGCCGCGGACGGGATGGCGCGGCAGCCCGCAGACTTGGAAACGGCGCCGGACCGACTGCCGGAGCACACCAAGGACGACCCTCACTACGACGACGACATCGCGGGGGAGGTCCTGCGCGTCCAGGCGTCCGTGTCGGCCAAGCACGGCGAGACCGCCATGCAGGCCATCACCCGCCACCTCAACCATACGGTCAACAAGGGCTTCGAGGGCGACGCGCCCCCCTGCGCGCCCGCCGACGAGATGACGCCGTATATCCCGCACCCGGCGCACAAGCCGGTGCCCATGGCGTTGATTGTGAGTAGGAGCCAGCTGCATATTTTGACTTACTTTCTTGGCGTGCCAATGGAGCCTCTTGGAGTGCTTGGTAGCATGCCGAGCACACAGGCACACAGGCTCTTAACATAGAGCCATCTTGCTGTGTATGCGGGAGATTTGCTGATGCCGGATGCGCAGAACCGAAAGCCACACGGACCGCCAAACCACAAGTCTGTGGCAAATCCCCAGGTCAGTCGAAGAATTCCTCTCTGCCACCAGCTGGAGTTTTCCCCCTTCTCCACCCTCGACGACCAACCGGGCAGTCACTTCAAATCTGTTCGGTAACACGCATAATATGGCTGACTCGCAGACCCCCCTCCGCAGAACGCAGCATGGCTTAGCGCGCTGCGCAACGCCAAGAAGAACGTCTTCATCCAGTCGCCGACGGTGAATGCCGAGCCGCTGATCCCGGCCATTGTAGAGGCCTGCGAGCGCGGCATCGACGTGTGGTGCTACGTCTGCCTCGGGTACAACGATGCGGTACGTCCCCTCCCCCCCTTGGGCATAATCCCGTCTGAGCCCCCTCCTCGACCTCGACCTCGACCTTTGCTGACGCGGTCCGGCGCGGCGAACAGGGCGAGCTCCTCCCCATGCAGGGCGGGCACAACGAGGGCGTGTCGCACCGACTGCACGCGGCGCTGTCGGAGGCGGCGCGCCCGCGGCTGCACTGGCACTGGTACGTGGGCAAGGACCAGACGCGGCCGCTGTCGTCGGGGTCGCCGCCCAAGCGGCGCAGCTGCCACGTCAAGCTCATGATCGTCGACGAGGCGGTGGGGATCGTCGGGTCGGGCAACCAGGACACGCAGAGCTGGTTCCACAGCCAGGAGGTCAACGTGCTCGTCGACGCGCCCGACGTGTGCGCGTGCTGGGTCGACGCGCTGCGCCGCAACCAGAACACGGGCGCCCGCGGCGCCGTGGACAACGCGGACGGCGTCTGGCGCGACCACGAGGGCGACGGCAAGGAGGCGCCGGGCGCCATGGGCGTCGACGCGGGGAAGTTCGGCTGGGCCACGGGCCTGGTGGGCGCTGTAGGTTGCTCTTGTTCCTCTCTGTTGCAGTTGCCCCCTTTTTCCCCTCCCTTCTTTGACCTTTCTGGTGGAGAATGGCAGTCCTGGCTCATCGGTCCCCTCTCTTTCGAGCTGGTGTGGTCCTCATGCTATGCAATACTCCCGGCCTGAGGCTACGAGGTTCCACGTCGAGTTGCTCTCTTCCCCGAAGCCATGGTGTTTTGCAGGCATCCTGTAGAAACGAAGGCTAACTTCTGAAATGCAGGTGAAGAGGGTCAAGGGGACAGGAGGGTTCTGAGCCGTAGGGACGATACTGGTGCCTTGCTGCTGAGGTACGAGAGGTAAGAACCGGTAATCTGCAGGGACAGGGAAAAAAGGGATGATCGGATGAGTGCTTAGTACCTAAGGTAGGAACGATTGCAAGCGGCCGGGCAAGCACTTATGGTTTTGATGTTTTAGCTGTCTGGGACGTGTCTGGTCTGGGCAGTCGTCACTTCTGGTCGTGCGATGCTACATCACTGGTTCGCCCCGCGCGTTTGCCTTGCTTGTCACCCTGGCAGGACCACTGAGCAAGTATCGCAAGTTAGGTGCCTATATGTTCGGGGTGGTGATAGCCTATAAGCATCAATAATGCCATTACGCGGTACGTGCCAAACATGCAAGTAGTAATCTGTACGTATTACGCAAAAGCAGGCTCTGGTATTTTGTCGGTCGGTCACTGGGATATTTTCTTGGCGGGAAGGCCTTTTCCCATGCTTGTCCACCGACTAATTTGCTTGGCACTCTGCGTCGGATGCGGGACGATGCCGGGCGCCAAGGAGGATAGCATATGACGGCCGCGGAGGAAGTATAACATATCAGCAAGTTAGGCGACGGGTTGGTGATTAGTACCCAGCTTAATCACGGAGAGTACCTATTTAAAGTATATAGGTAATGTAAGTAGTTAGCTGAGAAGAACTGGTGGGGTTGGATTGGGGATGCTGAGGTTGACAGGAGTGGTGAGAGTTAAGGTAGGTGGTACCGGTAGGTAACTTAATGAGAGCGATGAGCAGCCTTCCACCTCTAAGTAAGGGACAAATAGTCTCTAGTTCCCAAGATGATATCGACTACGTGGGAAAGCCGCGGAGTTCGCGTGCTACTGACTTGCGAATACGGCGAATGGGGCTGTCGGTGTACCTCAGAGGTTGGACTCTGGACCGCTTGTCAGTATCGCTCTGACTTATTATATACTTTGCCGGATAGGTCTCAAGTCAGAGCAGTCTAGATCAACAGGAACACAACAAGCTTCAACACGCGGTTAATGAACCAGCTTACCAGTACAGGGGATGGCTTCGACAACCGGCTGTTCGACAGAAACTAGGTAGAGTTTCTACTGAATCAGAAGTTAGCAGTGTTGGGAAACTAACGTAAGTTGTCACTATCTCATGGGAAGAAAGCGGTGCTCATTCTAACTTTGTGCTCAGCAACAGGCACCTGGTCAAAAGTTCCGGGTGAACCAAGTCCGGTTCCCCTGTGATGTCTAAGCTTACCTCAGCGTCTAAGACACCGAACCTGTCCGCAAAGTCTTTGATACAATCCTCCCTCTTCACCGTACTTTTATAGCGGGTCGAAGATGGGCCGAGATCTCTTTCAACGGCAGTTGGCAGTATGGCCTGCCTCCCCGAAACAAAGGTGTCGACGTCTTTAAACAACTCTCCCTGTACCGTCAGATTGGGCCGATGAGTGAGGGTTGCCTACAAACCTCAAAACCTCCTCAACTTCGACTCCAATTTCCCTCGAGACGACAACTTCTTGCCAACAGACTCCTTTGAGCATCATCCAGTACGGTCGGACCATGGCATCATCGACACAGCAGAAGACTCCCGAGAAGACGGCGGCACAGGCGGTGGCGGTGGTGGTGGACGACCCGGCCTGCTGCCCCAACGGACACAAGCACAAGAAGGCGCCTCCCGCGGCCGTGCCGGAACCAAGGCCGGTGCTGCCCGAATGCCGCTGCTGTACCCACGACAACAAGAAGCCTCCCCGCAAGAAGGGCTGGCCGAGCCGCGCGGTCGACCGCGTCTGCGGCGCGTGCAGCCGCTACTTCAGCCTGAGCGAGCCGGCCGACGAGCTGCCCGAGTACGACTACCGGCGCTTCTCGTAAGGATGGGGGCCGGCCGCCGACTCGCAACGGCTCTGTTCTCCTTCCACCTGGGCAGTTTGGGCCCGAGGGAGGGGAGAGTTGTACCGAAAGGAAGGCTCGGAATTAGGGGGAAGGGGGAGGCGGGTTCCAGCCTTGAGGAGGCATGTCTGTGCGGCGTCCCGGGAAATGCGTTTCGACTGCGAGAAGTAGCTAAGTTACTTGATGTTTCAACTTCTCGTGAAGTTCCGTACACAAAAGTAAATAAGAAAGACTGGCCAACCACCAACTCGGTTGGAAGAAGGGAGGCCGCTTTCGCACGTGGTTTGATGTGCTGCAGCTCCAAGAGGCCAATCGCGGGTCCAGCAGCGCAAGAGGAAAATACAAAAGAAGAAAAAATGAAATGCGACCAGCACGGGACTCGAACCCGCAATCCTTGCCAATCTCGATGAGAGCACCGGAAAGCAAAGCGATACCATTTCGCCAACCGGCCGATGTTGAAATTTTCAGCTGTTAAATACATACAAGTAGTGCACTTCATGCTGCAGAGAAGAAGCAATCGTTTACTGGAGTCCGGATAGTGTTCTAAACGGCGATTCCACACACTTCGCCCCGTTAATCATATATATACCTTACTTACTTCCTCCCCTCCCGGCATGCCAGTCTCCGACTTCACCCTCGCGCACACACCAAGCTGGAGATCTTCCTACTCGTCCGGGCTGAAGGCGGCCTCGGACGAGAAGTTTGTAGGGGTTGTCCTCTCTGCCTGGACGAGTAACTTCCTCGGGAGCTCTGTAGATGTGGCGCAGTCATGCAGCCGCCTGCATCGTTCATTGGCAGGTGGCTCTGACGACTGTCATGGGTGTTCACACCATGGCGAGTGTTCCCAAGCGTTCGCCTTCTGACCAGGCTGAATGCTCTTTTTCTCCTTCATCACGGTCGTGGTTTTCCTCTCTCCCGATGTTCGTTCTTGGCATTTCTCGAGCGCCCTCATGGATCCTCTCAGCTTCAGCGCAAGTCTTATTGCCGTCATTGAGCTGTCCTGCACAGTAGTGCAGTACATCAGCACCGCGTCCGGAGCAACCAAGGAGCGGAGACGTCTCCGCAGCGAGATTCAGGCGTGCAATCATTTCCTCCAAGAGATCAGGGACTCAGCTGACGATGCGGATGAGCCGCACACCTGGTCCGACACGGTCAAGGCCCTCGAGGCACCAGGCGCGCCTCTATACCGCCTCTCTGTCACCCTGCGTACCATCGAGTCCAGGTTCAAGCCCAAGACCGGACTAAAGAAGGCAATAGGCTCTCTCAGATGGCCCCTTGAAGAAAAGGAAGTGAACATGCTCATTAATTCCATCGAATGCGAAAAGAGCGTTCTGCAGCTGAGCCTCGCGAACGACTCACTGCGGCTGCTTCACCGCCTTAACGAATCCTTCGAAGAGAGCAACCAACGCCTACTGACCCTTGTCAACGCCATGGAGAATTTCTCTGAGGTCCACGCTGAACGACTCCACGGGCTGCAGGAAGCTGTAGGGAGATTGAGTACCAGCCACGATCGTGAAGACGCCCAGATGTTGCGACAGGCAGCTCTCAGCTGGCTTACTAGATTTGATCATGCCGCACAGCAGAACGATATCTTCAACGATCGACAACCAGGAACGGGGCTGTGGCTGCTCGGTGAGACCAATTACCTCGCCTGGGTGGACACCAGGCAGCAGACTTTGTTTTGTCCCGGCATCCCCGGCGCGGGGAAGACTATCCTGACGTCCATCGTTATTGATGATCTACAACAGAGGTCCCTACGCGACCCGACTATCGCAGTGGCATATATCTATTGCAACTACAAGCAGACAGATGAGCAGCAAGTGGAAGCTCTCATCTCGACTCTCTTGAAACAACTCGTTGAGAAGTGTAACACTCTACCGGAGCCAATCAGAAACATCTATGAGCGCAGTCGCATGCCAGGGCAGAGGATCACCTTGGACGACCTCTACGAGGCATTGAGCGCCATAGTCTCCGTCTTCTCTAAAGTCTATATCGTGGTTGACGCTCTGGATGAATGCCGGTCGGAGAACAACTGCAGAGAAATGTTCCTGTCCACCGTGTTCCGTCTCCAACGTGAAGTGAAAATCAACTTTTTCGCGACCTCCCGGTCTCTCCCGGAGATCACCGAGCACTTTGACGACGCCAATCAAATAGAGATCCGAGCTCGGGCTGAGGATGTCCATAAATATCTGGGCGGCAACATGTCACATCTTCCGCGATTCGTGATCCGCAATGATGCTCTGCAACGGGAAATAATATGCAGTATTATACAGGCCGTCGATGGCATGTGAGTAACTTGCCGTCCAGATCATATGACCGTGAAGCTGAACTCCAAAGATTTCTGCTTGCCAAGCTCCACCTGGAGTCCTTAATCGGCAAGATATCTCCCAAAGCAGTTCGAAAAACGTTGGCTCGTTTGGCACAGGGTTCCGACGGTTACGATACCGTATATCGCGACATAATGGAGCGCATTAGAGGACAGGTGGATGACCAGTGGAAGCTTGCTCAACAAGTCCTCTCGTGGGTTACGTTCTCGTTCAGGCCGCTCTATGTCCTCGAACTTCGCCACGCGCTTGCTGTCGAGATCGGTGTATCAAAATTTGACCCCGAGAATCTTCCCGACGCCGGTGATCTTGTGTCCTCGTGCTGTGGACTCATAACGGGTATGTACAGGGATATCTCGCTTAATTGGTTGGTTATCTTGATTCGAAGTCCAGCTAACTCATAACTCATCCTCAGCAAGTAGCATGGCCTTTTATTCTCCTAGTGCTTGGTGCTGCTGGGCGATTCTGCAGAGCCTTGACCAGGCCCAGTCTTCTAACACGACTTACTGACGTATAATAGATCGACATGGCGACCAGAACCGTTCGTCTCGTGCATTATACCACTCAAGAGTATCTTGAGAGGAACCAGATGGAATGGCTCCGAGATGCCGACAGAATATCCGAGACATGCAAAACATACCTATCGTATGATCGCACACCGAGGAAAGAATTGCAAGAATTCCTAGTGACATGGCCTTTCTATGAATATGCCGCTGAAGATTTTGACCGCAATTGGTTCCCAGACACCTAGGAAAAGTCTTCGCACTTGGACGAGGACATGATCCGCTAGCTCAAGAAGAAGACACATCCGGAAGCAATGAGCCAAGCGAGAATATATCTCTCTATCGCTGGGAGGCTTACGCCATTTTAGTCATCCGGCTTCAGTGGGAGACAAGATTTGCTAGGGGTTGCCTCTCCAGCGTCAACATAGAAGCGGCTATGTTCGAGCGCCCAGTGGACCATTCCTTCGCAAGCCTCGTAGCGCGAAAGAGATACTCCGCTAGACGCCGGATAGATACTAGCCCGCCGTGCTGGTCAAGTTGTCTTCCGGAAGAAAGGGGCCGGGGCAGTATGTTCTCCTCAGTTCCTCTAATAAACATGACGTCGCCTTTTCCTATAACACTTCTGGCGCTTCTCCCTCGCCGTCTGGTTGTATGACTTTGTCCTTGGATGCCCTGATGAGTCTCGTGCTTGTCTCTGACGTGAACGAGCACCTGCACGTCGTACTCTCCCCAGACTTTAGGGACAGCTGAGTTGATCATAACCCGGAGCGACAACAATTGAGCATCGCCGTACTCGTCTTCCGTCCAAGTTCACAGCGCAAATGCTATGTGGAACACTCAGTCGGAATGAGATATCTCTCCCAGAGAATGGGTACTATCTGAGGGGCGTTGCATCAGACATCCGCGTGCAACCAGCGAACAGAGGCACAGCAGGTTCGTAGGCCATGCGTGGTCCATTATACTGCCTTCCTTGCATCGCATGCCCGCATTTGCATGTCCGCGATTCGCCGTAATTGTATCAAGTCACACTCTTGGATCAAATTCCGGTAGAATATCACATACGAGTGAACGACTGTCACCACCACTCAACCGCCCCCCTGAAGCTCATCAGCCCTTTACGTATCCTTGGTGTGCTGTAGTACTTGGGGCAGTACAGAGCCCCAGAGAGAAGAAAAAGGTCCGAAATAAGTACTTGGAGTAGTAGAGCCCTGCTGTGCTGTAGCGAGATAAAAAATAACGAACGGAGCACCTCTTCCACCACCTGTAGAGCGAGCCGTAGATACCGTAGTGGGAGCCGGTGGTGGCTAGCAATGCTTCTCTTCAAAAGAAACCATTGCCCTGTACCGTATGAAAACCATTGAATTGAGGAGAAATGGTTTCTCGGTTGAATAAGGTAGGTACCTACCCACGCAGTCCGTCTATTCGCGCGCTGTACGCGTATGGTCGTTATGCACACAGTAAGGGGGTCGAACCTCGTGCTTACTACTGTACTCCAGCAGCAATGTCCGGGTCCTGCTACGTACGACCATAATAAAGGAGAGAGAGAGAGAGGCGGGCCAGGAGAGAAGGCTGCTCAGTCGTATTAAGATGAGTTATATCCACCTACTATACTGCGGTCTCCGCACATCTGCCAGCGAACAGGCGACTCGGCACCACTTCTTGATATTTTGATGGCGCAAGGTTGCGGCGATGGCGGGAATATGCCTCTTCATGTCGTTCGCCGGATCTTTCTCCATCGGTAGGACTCCAGCCCTCAGCAGCATACGTGGCAGTAGCTCTTCTGTTGAAGGCACGGCGTGCTGTTGTTGTTGATGGGGTCGATACACGTGAGGTTTATTCTGTCCAGGATGCAGTGCGTGAGGTCTTTAGTGTAAGCGAGGGACTTGGGTTAGGTACGGCAGGTAATGATACCATGCAGGAAGAAATGATACCATGCATGAAGTCTATATACTATAGGTCTAGGAATGATTCTGCGGCCAAACATCGCAACTCCGGCCGTACGTACCGGCCGAAACGGGTATGCAGCCACTCGAAAAAATACTCTTTACCGCTACTCTGGCGCTCTCCATGCCATGCCCAGCCACAAACCGCGGCTATCCAAAAACGACACGCGTCGGGAGTTGCTGTAGGTACCTTAGGTAGGTCAATAGCTCACATGCTGTCCTCCATCTGCCGGCTGCGAACCTTGGCCCAGTCGTCGTGCTCCTTCTTGCCGCCTTGGGCCTCGAGGCCCATGCCCCGCTCGACCCATTCCCTGCTGGCCATCTGGGTGAGTCGGGACAGGGCGCGGGAGAAGGCGAAGCGCTCCTCGTCGCCGGAGAAGAGGCTCGAGCTCTTGAGCTGGTCGATGTTGCTGTTCATGTCCTCCATCATGTGCTGCATGGTGTGGCTGACGGATTCTTCTCCGCCGCCGTCGCCGCTTTCGCCATCGCCACCGTCGTCCGCCGCCGCCGCCGCCTTGCCGTCCTTCTTCAGCGACTCGCGCAGCTCGTCCGGCGAGACGAAGAGCTGCGTCAGGGGCACGGCCGTGGTGAGCACGAGCTTGGCGTGCGACTCGTACACGGCGTCGATGAAGGTGATGAAGCGCCTCGCGAGGTCGCGCTCCCGGTAGGTCATTCCGGGCA